CCCCTCACCCCCTCCCAGGCTGGGGCCTGGCGAGAGCACCCACAGAAGGGAGCCTCTGTCCCTGGCACGCTGGCCCCAGGGCCCACATGGCGGCCCGGCCAGCTCAGAGATCCAGAGGCCTCAGTGACTCTGGGCCTGAGCTGAGGTTTGAGAGGCAAAAATGCCCCCAGAGGGGCCCGGCGACGACGTCCAGCTGAAGTCGCAAAACTCAGGAATTGGGGGACAGATGGGAGTGCAGGCGAGCAGCCTGCGGACAGAGCAGAGCCCAGGTCCTGCTCCGTGTGCTGGGTTGGAAGTGCACAGCCTCCTCCGGGGGGCTCTGGTCGGGCCCCTGCCCTCCCGGGCCCTTCCTCCCGGTCAGCCTCCTGCTCGGTGCCTCAGGCCCAGCAAACAGCCACTGGAGGGAGCTGAGGGAAGGACCTCGGGGGACTGACTCCGCAGGACGGCCTCCAGGTCTGAGAAGGGGGTGGGGCTCCTCTCAGCACCCGGGGGTGACCTGATTCTGACCCTCAGTGGCCTTCTGAAGGGGATGAACCGCACCCATAACACCATGGGGTCCCTACACTGCCCTGCCCTCGGTCACAGCTGCCGGAGCTGAGCACTGCACAGGGTGGGGGTGGGGGCGGGGGGCTCAGTGCACGACCAGGGAACACCCCTCGGGTGCTCACAACAGGATCCAACACCAGAGGACGGCCCCTTTGCTGTAGGAGACTTCCCAGGGTGGGCCACTCCAGTCCACGGGCGAGGACCCAGCTCCCTCTGGCCGGCCATGTGGAGAACAGACGGGCTATGGCCGTGTCACTGGGCTGACACAGAAGGTTCCAGAAGCGTGGCTGTGTCTGTGTAACTAGGGAACTGTGTGCAGAGGTGGGCCCGGGACCAGCCCCCGGTCGGGGGCACCGACCTCCCACGAAGTTGAAGATCTGCGTGAGCTACAGCCGGCCCTCCACAGACACAGTCCCGGCCCCCGGTTACCCTGAACGACGTGGGATTGAGCTGCGTGGACAACCGAGCTGTGATCCACGGAAAAAAATCTGCGTCTGGCCCTGGCCGGGGGCTCGGTTGGTTAGAGCATTGTCCCAACATCCCAAGGTTGTAGGTTCGAAGCCCGGGCAGAGCACATACAGGCAGCAACCGGTAAGTAAGTGGACCAGCAAATGGATGTTTCTCTGTCTCTGTCCCTTCCTCTCGCCCTCTAAAAATCAATTTTTAAAAATTCTTTAAAAAATAAAAGAAATGCTCTGCCTCCGAATGGACCACGCAGCTCAAGCCCCTGCTGCTCAGGGTCAGCTGTAACACGCGTGTGCTCGCGGTGCATTCACGCCTCCGTCTCCCGTGTCCGTGGCCACCTGTCACGGGCGTGTACAGAGGATCTAAAACTACCCCAGGGGGTAAATTTTCTGCCATTATAATCAGGTTCCTTTCTCAGTGATGTGAAATGTGACAACCATTAGAATTTAAACATCTGAAATTTTTTTCCCCAGAAATATTTCCATTTTCAGAGGAACATCTGTTCAGAAAACCCACATCAGGCTGGTCCAGGCAGACGGGCCCCACTGGAGCTCAACAGGTAAACTCCGCGGGCTGAGTGCGGGCTCGGCCTCGGAAACGCAGTCCACTGCCGCCTGCCTCGGCTCCCAGCTGTCACCAACGCGCGGGCCACACGGGGACTCGCACGTGGCCTCGTCTGCAGCCACGACCACGCTCGTCTCCGGACGCAGGGGCTCAGGCCCCGGCGAGGCGCTTCTTGATGAAGCAGCCGACCAGCCTCTGCGGCCGCTGCTGGTACTCGGCCAGCACCTCGTGGGGGCTGCCAATCTGGTCCCCTTGCAGGCGGTTGAGGAGGGTGACACACACCACGGCAGCTGCAGGGGGAAAAGGCGAGGCGAGAGGAGCTGTCCCCTGCCGCCCAGTGACCACGGGCCTGCGGACAGGCAGAGAGCACGGGAGGCCGAGGCCCCTGCTCCCGCCACCCCGCCCTCCCCTCTCCTCCCAGCAGGGCCCCCGGCACATCCTGGGACCTGCTAGGGGCCTGCACGAGCTTGAAGGCAACTGAGGTGACAGGGACGCAGAATCCTGGGTGGCAGAGCGGGCCCTGCAGGGAGGCCAGGAACGTGGGGCAGATAAAACCTGACTCAAACTGAAATGTGGGAGCCAGGCCCAGCGCGGGGCTGGTGGCAGCCACGCCCGAGTGGAGCTGGTGGCCCTCAGTGACCACCTGGTGGCCCGGGACTCACGGCAGGGACACAGAGACACCGAGAACCCTGCACTCGGCCACGTGGCAATCACAGCTGAGCACGGGGTGGGCAATGCCACCCCATCCAGAGCGGGCCTCGGGGACAGGGTGGGCGGAAGGCAGACGCTGGGGGTGGGGACCCGGGAGGCCCCGGAGGAGGTGCCGAGGTTGGGCCAGCCGGGGGTGCCGGAGAACGGCGGGAGTGACGACCCAGCACCCGCCTACCTGGGAGGCCACAGGCGCTGCACATGGCGGCGAAGACGGACGACTCCATCTCGATGTTGCGGACGCCGGCCTCGTGGGCCGCCCGCAGGTACTCCTGCTTGTCCTGCTCCGTGTAGCAGCACAGAGCCCCGTCCAGGCGGCCTTGCCCTGAGGACACGGGGAGAGGGGCCCGCCTGACGCAGGTGCGCTGGCCCCGGGCACGGGAACGCTGCCGACCCCTGCAGCCCACAGGCCCGGGCCCAGACGCTCCCCCGCAGGCCTGTGTTACAACCGACGTGGAAACGCCGCCGGGACAGGAGGCGGGCACCCACCGCCCCGCCCTCCCCGGCAGGGCGCCAGCCGCCCGTCACCTTCGTAGAAGTCCAGGGTACACATGGTGTTGCCCACCACCGTGGGGAACTCGTTCAGGTCCGCGGCGCACTGCGCCAGCTCCCCCACCAGCCGCGCGTCCAGGTCGGTGCTGCGGGTGACGCGCTTGCCCAGGACCAGCTGCTCGAACTCGGGCCTGAAGCAGGCGTCCACCGCCTGTCGGGTGATGACCACAGAGCCGGGCTCCAGACCTGAGGACAGAAGTGGAGTCGCAGCCGCCGGGCCAGCAGGAGGCCGTGGCCCAGCGCGTGCGGGGAAACGCCCATCTGCCCACAAAACGCTGACGCCCCAGTGACGTCCTAAAGGGAACGGCAAAGGGCCCGTCGCCTCCATCAGATGCGTTTTTCCTGAGAGTAGAAGTGACTGATGCGCACACACGGCAGGGAACACGGACAAGAAAATGCAAAGCAGCCGGAGCGCCTGGACCCCCCAGCCACCTGTCCCCTGGTCGGTTCCATCTTCACCTGTGGGCCACGCGGGGCCGGAGAGCGTTTCACAGATCCCTGACCTGCACCTTTTTCTTACAAAACATTTCAAACAAATACACAAGTGGTCGCGGGTTCGAATCCTGGTCAGGGCACAGGCCCGGGGTGCAGGCTCCTCGGTCCCCAGCAGGGGGCGAGCAGGAGGCAGCGGATCATGACTCTCATCACTGACGTTTCTCTCTCTCCCCCTCTCCCCTCCTCCCTCTGACATCAATGTTTTTAAAAACCATATTTATTAAAGAGCCGTGTCGTGAACCCCGGGCACCCAGCCCAGCTCCACCCATGACCAACTCCCGGCCCGTGTGTCACCCCTCGGGGCTGAGCCATTCTTATCTTAACTTTGCACCCACCCCCCCTGAAGGCTTATTTAAAATTGTATTGATTGATTTTTGGAGACAGAGGAAGGGAGAGAAAGGACGATTTGTTCCTCCACTTACGAGGCACCACTGGTCGCTCCCTGCACGTGCCCGGCCGGGGCGGGACCCGCAGCCTTGGCGAAGCGGGACAGCACTCTAACCACCCCAGCGCCCGGCCAGGGCTCCTGCAGGTTTTCTCACAAGTGCCTCGGACCCTCCCAGGAAGGGGGGGCAGAGGAAAGGAGAGGCCAAGCGGGGGTAGAAAGACTAAGGGGAAACGGAGCCCACGGGGGTCCGAGCGTGAGCAGCACGGGGCCGGGGCCGCTCCGCGGTCTCTGGACCGGTGCCGGGAGGGGCCAGGCCGAGCAACGGCAGGCTCTTCCCACGCCTGCGCCGAGCCTCCTGAGCCAAGCTGAGGTGGGAGCCACGGCCCTCACCTGCCCTCGCCGCGGCCACCCGGGGACTCACCGATGCCGCCGGACGTGCCGATGCGGATGACGGTGACGCCGGAGCAGCGGGCGTGGAACAGCAGCTTGAGGAGCTCGTGCAGCATGATTGCAATCGAGGGGATGCCCATCCCGTGCTGGCGGGAAACCCGCGTTAGCTGGGCACCGCCGTGCCACGGACCCTCCCGCCAGCGGTCAGAGCGTGAGCGTCACATAAACGGACAGCCGGGCCACCTCGGGAGGCGTGAAGGCTGGCAGAGCCGTCCCACTGGGGCCACACGTCTGTGACAAAGCCGCGAGGACCGGGGATGGCAGGGGAGCGGCCGCCGCTGGGCGCCCGGAGCCCACCAGCCCTGCCCACCTGCCGGCTTCTCTCTCTCACGTTCCTCCCCCCTCCCCGCTGGTCACGGGCAGGAACTCACACTGACGGACAGCACGGGCCCCACTTTGAACATGGCATAGCGGTCGGTCCCCGAGCAGATGTTGGGGTAGTCCTCGCCCGGGCGGCCCAGGCCCAGCTCCACGGCCACGTACTGGATGAAGGATTTCATCCTCGAGGGGCTGCCCCCAACACACACGAACTGTGGACAGAGGACGGCGCCCATCAGCACAGGGGCCCCGGCAGCACACACGCTCCTCCTAGAGCCGCTGGGAATGCCAGGTCCCGGGCCCACCCGGACAGGCCCGTCTGGGGAGCCCTGCTGGTGACTCAACGCTCACTGGAGTCTGGGAGGACCTGGCGCGTGGAGTCACCGCTCAGGGCAGGGGGCCGGGCAGGACAGAGCCATGGGCCCCCAGACACAGGGGCCCGGGCCTCTCCCCTGGGGGTCAGCTGGGGGTCCCCAGCCTGCGGCCTCCGTCCAGCTCGCGGACAGCAGCTCTGGGGGCGCCGGCTCCTGGCTGTGCAACCCGGGCCCCCAGCCCACCTGCACAACGGGCTTGAACCACCACCTGTCGCCGGCCACGGGACGTCCAATGGCCAATGCGTGGGGGCGCCCGGGGGCCGTGGGGCGCAGGGAGTGGGGGTGCGCAGCTCAGAGAGCCAAACCTTTCATCTGCAGAGCAGTGTGTATAAAAAAACTCACTTTCCATTTTTTTCCGCACAAGAAAAGCAAGTAAACACGACAGTTTAAGGGAGCTGGGTGATCAGAGAAGCATTAGTTTCTAAAGATGAGAAAAAAAATTAAGGGTAATAGAACAGGAACTGAGTGCGTGGAGAGCGCTGAAAGGGAAACAAGAGGAGAGGCCGCGGCCCCGGGCCAGGGCTCCGTGTTTCAGGGCGAGTCTGCGAAGCAGCCACGTATTCCCGCGTCACTGGTGGGTTCTGTTTTGACTTCTACACATTTGTCCGTTTTTACCCAGGGGATTAGACATTTTAGAGGACAGACAGGCAGCGCAGGGGCTGGGGGCAGAGGCTTGGGGGGCGGAGGGATTGAGCCAAAGAAAGGGGGAAACGGGGGAGAG